GTGCTATAACAAACAAATTAAACTCTCAGTGATGGGGGTGGGGTTGTAATGCCAAAGGAGCCAACTGTAAGTGTTCACAAAGCTGGGTTATTTTGAGAAAACAAATAAAGAGGTACTGAATTATAATCTAACATAGAAAATAATATCTATGAGTCCATACTGATATAAATAAATGATTGAATAAATAATGGGGAAGAAGAGACAAATCTCTTTTGTAGAAGAATTCTGAATAATTTAAGTAGATATAACCATCCTGTACATGGAGTATAACTACCACTCTCATGTGTGGTTTGGATATAGTGTCTTCTCTGCAAGCAGTGTGATATAGAAAGGGTGAAGAAGTGTTGTTTCCAGTAAGGAAACCTGATAAATGTGATAAATCATGTTGATTGTATGTACACTTGATATATGACATGATGAAAATGGTACTTTACCTCTGTGGTCTTCTTTCCAAAAATCTGTATGCCGGTCTAATCAATGAGAAAACTATCAGAAAAAAATCCCAAGTGAGGGATATTCTATAGAATACTGACCAGTACTCCTGAAAATTGTCAAGATCATCAAACCCGATGTTAGTTTGAGAAACCGTCGTAGTCGAAAGGAACCTAAGGAAACATGACATCTAATTGTAATGTGGTGTCCCTAAGGGGATTCTGAAACAGCAAAAGTATATTACATAAAAACTAAGGAAATATGAATAAAGTACAGACTTTAGTTTATAATAATGTCAGTAAGAGTTCATTAATTGTGATAAATAAACCAAATTAATGCAATATGTTTATAATAGGGGAAAGCAGATGTGTAGTACATGAAAAATCTCTGTATTGTCTTCATAACTTTTCTGTAAGTATAACCATTCTAAAATTTAATAAAATTATTTGAAATAACTTACTCTGCTTTCAGGGAAGTAGCAATTAAAAATATATTTATATGATACGTAACACAAAAAATTATGAGCATTTTATCTTCAAAAGAAAGTTGCTTTTTAAAAGGGTAAACCAAATTGGAATTTCAGAGGAAATCATTTTTTTTT